AAGAATTTTCCAACGCGTTCCCTTTGCAAGCGTCGGAAGTTCTACAAACAGTCAAGGTTGCAGCATCACGATTTCTTCTGAATTTTTGGTCGCACCGCACGCAAGTCCGCTTTTTTCTTACACCACAAAAGTAAGCACGGCAAGCTAGCGTCAAGTTGCAAGAATCCAAAGTTCACAGCTTGTGTGTAAAACATGAGTACCAAGGCTTGAAATTTTGATAGGCAAACGCACTTACAGGAAAAATTGCAAAAGGAAAGAACTCAAGGACTAAGCTATATATATGTTTCGAAACTTCAGGAACAATTGTCAAAACGTAATTTTGTATAATGTGTTTCGGGCTAAAGCGAAACCATCCTTGCGTTTTTACTCGCGTCGTCGTCGCGTCGTCGCGTTGTGGCGTCGTCGCGTCGTCGAAACGTCGCATCGACGCTAGCGAATCAACCTTGCCAAACAAAATGCCTCGCAAAGCGTTTTTGAAAATACACGGAACTCACGGAACCCAAATGTTAGAAGCCAACAAAATATCCAATCCAAGCAGGAAGGAAATCATGAATGCTGATCTGGCCTTCAATGTCAAAGCCACATGCACCTTGCCAAACGAAATATTTTGCAAATTGTTGATTGAAAGCACAGGCAAGCCAAATGTCAGAGGCCAATCCAAGTTCGCGCATACCCTAAGGGCCCCTAAGGTCATGGCTCACGCGCCATCACCCGCAGCCCATCAAGCAGTGATACAGCGACTACACAAACCAGAAAGGATTCCGTGTTTGCAGGTTTTGTTTTTTCTGTTTGAAGAAATGTGGCAAGCAAAACGTTTCATCGCAGCATCCTCCCGTTCAATGATTGCACAAGCACAGCCAAGATGATTTGACAAACATGCTTAAGCATGTCAAAAATTCCACATATATCAACTTTGGTCGCGAAGCTTTCAGGAGCCTTTTTCAGAATTCCTCGGTTCCAGGTTTCAGGGTTCCAGGGTTTCAGGGTTCCAAGGTTCCAGGGTTCCAGGGTTCCAGGGGATTCCAGGGTTCCAGGGTTCCAGGGTTCCAGGCGGTTCCGGATTTTGGGCTCCGCAGTCGGAGGCGGCACCCCTCCCAGACCTAGAGATTGAAACCCAACAGTCATACTGCTGTTGGGAATTAAACAAGAAGGTATTAGGGAAACTCAAAGATGAAATGAACGGTACAATAATTACTCACTTTTGAGGATTGAAACCAAAGGCATATTGTTATAAAGTGTACGGTGATGAGAAAGAACACAAGAAAAGTAAAGGAGTAGTCAAGCATAAAGTCAGCAATCAGCTAAGTTACAAAACCTATGACGAGACATTGAATAGAAACTGTAAATAAGAAGTCAATTTCAACACTATCAGAAGTAAGAACCATCAAATCTATAGCATTAATCAGACTAAGTATGCAGTAGCAACTACGACAATGAACGCTACTGGTATTCAAATTTTGAGAGTCTCCCGTTTGGACATTATGCCATACAATATCTACACAACGAAAAGATGATTTAGGATATACGCATATATATAAATGGATACGAACACATTTGAAATGGGACACATTGAAAAAATAGTTGCCGTTGATAGAAATAATTGCTGCACCGGTTCAACAACACTGAAAAACTAAGTCAAAGAATGGCAAAACATAGAAGATATTATAAATCTTATCTAAGTAACAGAAATCCCCCAAAACTCTGTCCTAGCTCTATGAAATTGCTTGATGACTTGATGAGTTCGGTGTTGAAAACCGTAAAATAGTTCTTTTCGAAGAATACCCCTGCCAAAACAGAAAGCAACTCGAAAAGAAAGAAGGTGAATATATTGGAAATGATAAGAGCCGTCTTAACAGATGTATTGTTGGTCGGGCTTGAATGGAATATTACGATGCCACAGGAGGGCATCACCTCGAACAAAAAAATATAAGAAGACAAACAGCATCACGATAACAATAAAGAGAAGATTCAGGAAAAAAGAAACGCTGCAAAATTGAGGACACATGTCGTAACAAAAATTAAAGGTATAGAGAAGGGAGCAGGGAAGCAATAAGACAACAACAAAGGAAAGATAAAAAAGAAAAGAAGGCGAAAACAGAAGGACAAAAAACAATTACTAATCAACCAAAAGCAGTTCATGCCTATTATACATTTTACTCATTCCATCCAATTTATAGTATCTATTATATATTCATCATTATGTCACGACAAACTAGTATTACGTTATACTTTCTTTGACTCCATTGACTTCTAGTTTCTTTCCTTGATACATAGTGGCCCTTTCCTTTATCAAATATCTTAACGTAATCTCCTTCACTTATGTTTGGATATTTTTTGTTGCGCTTTTCTTTCAGTATCAGATTTGTTCTGACCAAAATTACGTTATCAAGATTGCGCGCATTATTAGGTGCTGTTTTGGTACTACTGTGGATTTGGTTGTTGTATCTATTCAACGAGGGCTCTAGCACTTCCACCCATGTTTTGGCTTTGTAATGCCTCAATCTGTCCCCAATCATTTCTTCGACGGCGCGTATCATCCTTTCTGCCTGATTTGCATGCGTCTTTGTTACTACGTGCGCTATCCCTTCCTCCTTTAAAAATGTTTGCAGCTTCTTGCTGTTCAACGCTCCTTCGTCGTCGCTGTAAATCGACAAAGGCTGACCTAATACCTTGAAACACTCCATGACTGCTTTATAAACGTCATCACCATCTTTATTCTCGATAGGGACTATGTGACAATTTTTGCAGAAGATATCTATGCAATCTAAACATATCTAAACCATATCTTAGTTGACTTTTGATTTCAGAACCTACGTCTCGCAGCAAACTGGCAACATCCATCAAGTCGATTTGGAGTTCATACTTCGGGAACGGTGCAGTGTAAGAATTGTAGTTTTTGTAGTTTCTTGTTTGCTTGTTGGGTTGCGCCCTCATCCATGTAGACACCATATCCAAAGTTATGCCTACATCGACGTTCCTAGCCTTTTCGTATAAGTCCCTCACCAAACCGAAGCCGTCCTCCACGTCGTAGTATATTCTTTCCAATACCTTTTATTTTACCAATCTTGTCATGAAAAATACTTAGATTATAATTTTATGATCTTTTCTTGCGTCATAAAATCATAGTGAACTCAAACGAAGAACCTCTGGCACTTTTTGGTTTTCTTGTGTTTTGCCAAGTTTGTTTGACTTGCAGCTCATGGCACAGCCGCATATATCGCATACACACGGTTGTCTCGTTTTCTCTTGGTAATATCTTTGGAAATACGTTTCGTCTTCGGTTTTCTGTTGTAATATCCGTCGTCCTGCTTTCTCCATTGGGGTTTTGTCGGCTTTTGGACTGATGAATCTGCTTTATAGTTTTCTTCAGGCGAAGAAGACGTTTCGCTGTCATTGAGTTCTTTGTTTCCAAAACCGTTCCAAATAAAGTCAAAGGTTTCGTTCGTCATTGGGATCTCAACTCCACTACTTACAAAGTAACAAGGCATACTGCAAATAGAGTTAATCATATATCATATCTTAATATATGTTTAAGTATTTTTCACCCATCAGAAACATTGGATTTGTCCTGATGTCATCTCTGCGTGCCTTCTCGCGCAAGACTTTAACTAATGGAGCAAAACCCTATTTTCAACATCAAAGTTTATAGGTGTGGGCAGTTTATCCGTCCAACTTGCTACCGGTTGACCGCTTTTGGAGAGACCCAGTTTTTAAATCCTAAATCCCAACCCAAACATGCTTAGCGTTCAAAACAGTGAGACTTGGGCTTTGTCCCAAGCCGACCCAAAAACCAAACCATTTTTTCACCGAACCGAACCAGTTTGTCTCAAAAAACGGAGACCGTGTTTCCCAAACACGAAAACGTTTTTCTTTTAAACGAAACCAATTAATTCTCCCAAAAAAATCAAGCCAGTCTTTCCCTAAAACCGAGCCAGTTTTTCCCAAAGTCGGTAGCTGATTTCCCCAGAATCGGTGGCTGATTTCCCCCAAAGTCGGTGACAGATTTCCCCAAAGCCGGTGACGGATGTCCCCAAACTCAGGGACAGATTTCCTCAAAATCGGTGATAGATTTCCCTAAAATCGAGCCAGTCTTTCCCTAAAACCGAGCCAGTTTTTCCCAAAGTCGGTAGCTGTAGCTGATTTCCCAGAATCGGTGGCTGATTTCCCCAAAGTCGGTGACAGATTTCCTCAAAATCGGTGACATATTTCCCTAAAATCGGTGACGGATTTCCCCAAAGTCAATGGCAGATTTCCCCAAAATCGGTGGCTGATTTTCCCAAAAGCGGAGCCAGATTTTCCCAAAGTCGGTGACGAATTTCCCCAAAGTCGGTGGCGGACTTCCCCGAAGTCGGTGGCGGATTTCCCCGAAGTCGGTGACAGATTTCCTCAAAATCGGTGACAGATTTCCCTAAAATCGATGACGGATTTCCCCAAGCTCCAGGACAGATTTCCCCAAAATCAGTGACAAGTTTCCTCAAAATTGGTGTCAGATTTCCCCAAAATCGGTGACTGATTTCCCTAAAGTCGGTGACGGATTGCATTTCCCCAAAATCCGTGGCTGATTTTCCTCAAAAAACGAACCAATTTATTGCCAAAAACCGGAGCCAGTGTTTGTAAGAACACCTGAAAGAAGAACTGTATTCCAAAAACTTTCTCCAGATTTTCCTTCGATTTTCCATCTAAAACTATTTTCCCTCTTGTCATTTCACACTGGCAAAAAGTCAAAACGACAACGGCGCTTGCGTGCACAAAGCCATCCGTCAAACCAACCACCACTTCCATTAGTTTTTGCCACTCCATTTTCCGTGTTTATTGTCACGTTTGGGTGAAACTCCGCGCTGAACAACTCTGTGGCTTCTGTACCAGCAGCTCACCGATCGTTCGTGGCAAGTTGCCTCTTCAACTCATCTTTTCCCAGTTTAATACGCCGCCTTTGTATCTTTATATCAAAGTGCAAAGTTTGCAACAACAAAAAAGATTACGCCTCTTACAATGGAGAAGACGCACATGCACGGAGCAAAAGAAAGTCGCAATTTGACACATGGAATGAAACCGTCCAATGCTCACAGTCGGGTCAGAGAGAGCCTCACAAAGCAAAAATGTTTCAAGAAGCAGCATTTAGAAATAGAAACTGTGCCACACTGCGCACACGTTGATCACAAACAAGCCAGCCTCTATGGAATGAGGTAACCATAGCAGTCCAACCTGGAATGATTGGTTGACCACGCACTTCAACAAGGCGTTTGTAACAAGTATATTCAGAGTATTAACATGTATTTACTGAGGGGAGGACTTGGAGACACCGCGTTTAATTGAAGCCTCTTCGTCTTCTTTGCTCCAGTTGCCATCCTGCGGAGAAGGCATTCAAACCAAAAAGAGCTGACTAAACACGAACTGGTAGGTCATTGAAGCTACTGCAACTAGCAAAACGAGTTGCTGGCACCACGGCTCCTCCTGTTGGCTAAATATTTTTATCTTGGAAGGTGCAATGGATAGTTCTTCTTCCTTCTTGATCGCCTGAGAGCTGAACGACAATACCACCCATACACTTTTGCTTTCAATAAAACATGTTCTGGCTTTTATCAGGGTCTGCTTTGTCTTCTACTCAACATCAACTAAGGCACTATTCCACATTAACGCAAACGATGAACTCACAGCACGTGTTGCAAAGATGGTCGCTCTGCTTAATCTTTGTCATTGCCCATCTCAAAGCTGTTCCAAAACAAAATGAAAGAAATTCCATTTGAGGTCTGCACCTTCTTCAGATCATCTATGTCACCAACCGCTCCAGTGATTTGGAAGGCATTGCCGATGAACTCGGAGCCGCCATTGTTGTCCTGCAAGGTCAACAGCCGAGACATTCAAACTCAACCCTTTCCAACCGTGTGCTACTCGCATTTACTTACCAAAGGGCACAGCAAAGGAACAAGAGCATGGCAGAAAATCATACAAAGTCTTTAGTCTAAATCATCTTTATCAAATTGAGGAAGATTATTAGAATACATATTTCATAAATCCTGAGGAATGAGCGACCCTGCAATCTTCTCCCTAAAAGTCCTGAACCCTGCCAAGTTCGTAGCAGAACAGTGTATTATCTTGCACAGTGGACTTACCCTTCATCACGCTTTTAGTTTGGGGGAAAAGAGCATGAACCTGAACGAACGGCTATTATAATCTTCAACCGAACTGTCCGAAAGTCATCAGTGCACTGCTTTGGTCAGAGCAACGACTTTGCTGAAACAAAATGTGTTTACACAGTCATTGAATGCGCTTCTCTGCAGTCCTTGCGGATTTGTCTCACCCAAACAGCTGGTGGTGCAGTCCCAGCGCCACCTTGCAGGGAGGAGGTATGGATGCCTGTATTACTTTTATCCATCAACTTCGTGATTGTCAATATATATATATGTATATATCAACAACCTCCATCCACCTTCCTCTTTGGAACAGCGTACGTTCTTAAAGAAACAACCCCGTCGTATGTTTACAAGACCTTGGTGCGCCCCGCCTGGGATAGGGAGAGGTGCAGTTGGTCTATCTCCAGTCATGATGCATCGTTTGGTACTTCTGGGATTTCCGAACGCTCTAGAGCCTCAGCCAGGAGAACGTTTCGTTCTTCAGCTTCTCCATCATATCCTAACTGCTTCTCCAAGAGTTCTTGTATATCGCTTATACGATTCAGGAGCTCCAGTGTCTCTTCTTTAGACCATCGGTACCACACTGCTGGCATCTGATCCCCTTTCCGCGTTGTATCACCGAGACTGAGGTCTTCAATGTCCTTCGCTGCAGCTTCACTCTCCACGATGATAATGACCTGGTGAAGGTTGTCATTCGCAGCCCGGGCGAGCACTCTCAATCTATCTCCAGATTGCTCAATCATTGCAGTACTTGAAAGAACATTGTCAAGAATGAACCTCAGTCTGATCCCCTTCCCCCTCAACATGGTGAAGAAGGGGCGGGCAATTTCCGCAGTAAATTCGATGTTGGAGAAGCAGAAGAAGGACTTCAGTTGCCTGTCCAAGTCGTTCTGCAAAACAACGATTACATCCTTCGGCTGTCTCCCTTTCAGTTCAAGTGCTGCCAGCGTTGCAGCAGTTGACTTTCCGGCACCGGGCTCTGCGTGCAGTGCGTAGACTCCAGCCATGTTTGTATTCTGAAGCGTTGCAACCATGAGTTTCTCGAAGGGTGTACCTCTGATTGGCTCAAGAGGCAAATCTGCCTTTTGCGCAGTCGGGATCAGAACATTCTTCCCTGCAGCTATGGCTTTTTCAATCGTGCCTGTCAATTTTTCAACATGTTTGTCCGCATCCTTGCCTTCAAAAGGCTCTTGCTCTCCCCAGGTCCTGGCAAATTCTTGCACTTGTCCAAGGCTTTGCACCAGCTCGGCTGCAGGTGTCAGAGTTGATTGCACAAAAAACCATGCACTTGTAGCTGCAGCTTGAAAATTTGGATCTTGCATTGCATTAAGCACTGGTGAAAGCTCGTCTGCAACACGTCTGCGAGTCATGTGCCCGCTTCTAGCCCGTTGTGTTGCAAACACCGGTGTTCTTGCCCACTGCAAAGTAGCTGCCAACGCAACAGCAAGCAGTACTCTTGTGGCGTTGGGTCTCATGCCGGGCACAACTTGTTTGCCATCGGGTCCGAAACAAAAAACTTGAGGGGACTGAATTTTGGTATCAGTGGCGCGTTGGTTGAGAATCAGGTGATACCGTAAATACCCAAATTCTCAAGGTCCAAACATGACATGCAACACTTTTGACCAATTGGTTTCTTGCTTGCTAGGATTTGAGAGGTAGAAGCTGAAGGGGGAAGTGTGATCAGACTTCGAGAAAGCCTGTCAAGCGCCCAACCCATTTTCCAACAAAAACTATGACAGCCACACTTCAAGAGTTTTTCTAGTCTGAAAACAGCAGCAGCTACCATGCCAACAAACGCTACTTTGCTTTGAAAATGATTGAGGTCTGAACGATTGGAAGCAAAGAATACATATTATCACTTCTTCGAGACCACAAAGCCAAAAAGAGTGCAAACGCAAGGCGCACCTTTTTCACGCTTAAGCAAAGGGGTGTCGAGGGGCTGCACGCCTCCGCACGGTTTGGTAGGTTGACGAAAGGTCTGGGGAGACCAGCTTGGCATGCGAACGGAAGTCGGTTGGCACTTTGCGGTGAAGTGGCGGCAGCGTGACAGGGCGGCTGAGGGTGGGCCGCAAAGTGAAATCAAACAAAGACATTTAATGAACTTGCACAAATAACTGCAAACTTGAAAGCACATCAAGATTGCACATGGATGAGTGCAATGGCAAGATCTTTGTTAAATTTTGCTGAGCCAAAATTTTCTCGAATAAGGAATAAATACGCTATCACGAGTGACCGCTACATTATCACTTCTTCGAGACCACAAAGCCAAAAAGAGTGCAAACGCAAGGCGCACCTTTTTCACGCTTAAGCAAAGGGGTGTCGAGGGGCTGCACGCCTCCTCCCCCTCTTAAAGCTCAAGCAGGGCCTCGAGCACATCAAAGCTCAGGTGCGCCAAGCGTGCTCCCTCTTTCAACAGGTGCTCTACTTCAAACCTGGACGGGGCGTCGGCGATGTTTGACTCCGTGGGAACTCTGGCGTACCACGGCTGGATCATGAGCTCACACTCAAGCTTAAGAGTCGCATCTAGGACACGCCTGGCATTCAGGCTCGACGTTGAGCAAGAGATTAGGGTGTCACGAGCCCCGTTGTTGTCGGTGAAGATAACCACGGGTGACTGTCGGATTTCATTTTGCCAAATTACCAGCGCACAATAGATGGCAAGCAGCTCACATTCGAAGATTATGGTCTTACGCTCAGCAATTTGAAGTTTTTCCAACAAGCTGCTAGGCGGCGACGCAGAAAAGAATGACAGCTTGACGCCATCCTGGGAAACAAGCACTGCGCCCAAACCACAAGCGTTCCCGGCGCCTGCCGGTTCATATGAAGCATCTGCGAAGATGTAGAACGTTGGGTGGCTACCGGTCTTAAGAGTTCGGGGCCTACCGTGCTCTAGGAGCGACTTGTGCAACTGCAGCGCATGGACTAGTTCAGGACTAATCTTAGGGGTCTTGGTACTATAGGCATGTGTCGTGACCGATTGCAAGGCTCCACGGGCTATTCTACCAAAGAGTTGTCCTGAGGCAAATTGGAGCCTTCCTCGAACCCTCAAAGCTGATGCCCGACTCAGGGTTCCAGAAGTCAGGATCTCCTCTATCATTAGCAGAAGCTCACGCTTCCTGGACTCCGTGTTGTCAAACAAGACCCTGTCCCGGTGAAGGTTCGAGACATCGATGCTTATGCCAAGTGCATTAAAGAGCTCATGGAATGGAGGAGCTTTGGGGCCTTCCTCGGCATATCTCCACCCCAAAAGACGGAAAAACACATGGACTGCTTTAGTTACTGACTCAACTTCCACTCGGGGGATCAAGGTCACAAAATCATCGAAGTAATTGCACCAGGGTACCAACAACTCAGAGATGCCTAGGAACCAAAGGGAGTGCGCAACCCTAAGGAATGAATGCACGGAACGAATGCTGCCAAAAGGCAGTGCTCTCATCCTGAAAGCCCAAATCCTGCGGGATTGAGGCTCCTGCACCATGATGTGGCTAAAGTCCGACGAGTCCGGGTTGATCGCGCATTGACGGTACGCACCCTTCAAATCAAAAGTTCGGCCGACCCAAGGGCCCGTCCTGGTAGCAACTTTCATGGCCCTCAATGCCATGCAGGCGACCACGTCGAGGGTGTGAGGACGCGGGCTCTCTTCAGTCTGGACTGCTGAATTAACTGATGATCGAGCAAAATCATCAATGCACCTAATCTTCTCACCTTGCCTAATCCCAAATCTGCGACTTAAAGGGCACTCTACTGGTACCTGCTTTAGATCTAAGGGGCCGTCAAGAATTCCGGCTTTCACCTCGTCAAGCGTTTGCTTCCAAACCTCCTCCTCAAGTTCTGCGTCGTCTGACTTCGGAAATTGAGAATACAAGGAGGACCTTTCACGAGACGCGGACTCCCTCAAGTCTTTCACTGTCATGATTGCTGGCACGAACTTCTTGGGCCACAGGCCGGTGGGCGGCACTGCACCAACGAGCTGCGAACCTTGCTTCAGTTCAGAGACCACATCCATATCACGGTAGTCGTTATCCAACAGCATTCGCTCCCACACCAGCAAGCGCTTGTTCTTCAAGATCAACCGGACATCAGGATGCAGGCTTCTTTTGAGCTGTGCTTCGAGATGCTCGATCTCCTTGGCAACTGTGGTCCAACGCCTCAACCTTTCTGCCCTCAGCGCCATTCTATCAGCACTCGGTTGACTTCGAAAGCTATTAAACAAATTGCCGAGCTCAAGGGGCAACGCTGAGTCGAGTCTGCAGGGATGTCCTCTGGCGACAGCCTCTGCGACGAACTGCTCACAAGACCAAGGGATTCCCCATCGTTGACATACAGCGTCGCTGGTCATGGCTCCTACTTGCAAAACGAGCTCCGAACACTCTCTACCCCCCAGTTTCGAGGGAGGTGGCTCGAGCGCAAGGAGTTTGGCGTGTTTAGGCAAGACGAATGGCGGTGTGCTGGACAAGGTAGTGTCGATGGAAATGCGCTTGAGCAAATCAATGGCAGGGAGACTGGCATGAGATCCAACCAGAAGGACATGATGGGAGTAACACGGGACAAGTGGGGGAACGAACGAGGCTTTGGCTTGCAATCCTGTCTGAGCCCGAATGACTTGCAACGACGGTGTGACAGCTTCAGTTGCGAGTTCCAAGGTCGCCGCTGGCATGGGCAAGCCTCGGCTTGCGAGGGCGGTAATGAAGCAAGCAGCGAAAGCCTTGGCCAGCGCCATTGGGTAGGCTGTCTCCTCTGCAGTTGCAAATTTTGAGGTCCGGTTGTTGATGCCCCATTTGGCGTGTTTGTGTTTGGCCGATTGGCCTTTGCACTTCTTTGAGATGACACGAAATTCACGATCGGAGAAGGCGATCATGGTTCGTTTCTGTCGTAATGAACCGTACTGGCATGAGTGAAACGTGGTATAGGACATCAGGTTGCTGACTTCAGTCCAAAAAGTTGTGTTCCAGAAAAAACTGTACTGGGGGTTCTCAACAACGACTGGTATGCGCTGGGCAGCGGCCCACCTAACAACATCAGCAGTGAGTCTGTACAAAATGTTTGCCTTAGCGATTCGTTCTTTGTCTGTCCAAGCGAGATGTGGCAATCCATTAGGATGGTCATCGCTCCGGAGGGGCCTTGGGCCCTGGTGATGTTTACAGTGACTTTTATGGTGAAGTCTGATGGCTCGCGCTCGCGAAGCTGATCCACATGGAGGTGCAAGGAAAACACCAACTACATTGGGGTTCTCAAGCCACTGCCACAAGAGCTCCTGACCAGCTCGTGTGGTCAAGTCTGCAAGGGATACAGGGGCTGTGACTTGCTTATGTTTAACATAATCTACTCCAAAAGAGCTCCGCACTCCTAGCTGCCTTAGGCATGCTGTCACACGAGCTGTTCCTGCGTAAATTTCTACAACCACACAACTTGTAATGTCCGCACCGGACGAGATAAGTCGCCCGATGCGGTCAGCGTGTCACGATGAGGTCTGCTTGTCGTGATCCATCTCGGCATGCGGCGCCTGACAATCCTTGCGGCAACACAAATGGAAACCGTTGGGACATTGGGCCCCAGATGCAACTTTGTCGCATTTGCCGAGGTTGAAGTTGTAGCACAATCTCCTGCCATGCATGTCTGTTCCAACGTTGTCACGACCTTGCAGCGCTTTAGGAAGGAAATTCGTACCTTTACCTTTGCTCTTGCCTTTTCCTTTGTCACCTTTGCGCGACTTGCCTTTGCTGTGATCTTTGCCTTTTCCATATGGCTGCCATCGCCAGTCATGTTGCTGACGGAAATCTGTCGTCCATTGCGGCTTCGGTGGATTGTTCGGCAGTGACTGAGGTTTTGGCAACGGCAATAGGTGGAAGCTAACTTCGGCCGAGTTCAACGCACGCATCAACACTTCGTCCATCTCTAAAGCACCTGAGGAGTTCCTACGAACATTGACTCCATCTCTGATCACCTTGGTGAAGCTCTGTCGGTCTGCGCGAAGAATCTGCTGAATGCCCGGTTTGACATAGCCCGATGGGGGCTCGTTACGGAGGTGTTGGAAGAGTTCCTGGAGGTATGTTTCGTGGGCCTCCCACGACATGACGTCTGCGAAAGCCAGAGCTATTCCACGTCGCCGCAGGGCCTCGTGGACTTGGAGGTCATTGTGTGTGGCCTGATCAGGTGTATCTTTAGATTCCTTCACAAGAAGCTTCTCCGAATCAATGCTCAATTGTTTTGCACTCTTTCCGTGCATTATCTCCCACTCACGAGACATACACTTTTCTGGGCTTAGATATTTCAATTGCCGCGCCTCCCACATCTGTGCTGCACGATCAAGTAGATCAAAGGCTGGCTCAAGCTGTCTTTGAATTAGGACACCAGACAAACGACCCTTCAAGGCTTCCATCCGAGCCTCTCGCTCTACTTGGGGAACTCTCCTACTGGCGGCTGCCTCCGGGTGAGAGATCTGGTCCCTCAGTTGGCTCAGCACGAATGTATGGCCTTCAAACAATAGTCTCTTGAGAGTTGCGTTGTCTCCAAAAGAAGCCATTGCGCCCAATGTTGCAACTGCGAAACGATCAAACACATCATCGGGCGTTGGTGTCCCCGGTTGTCCACAAGCAAACGCTAGTTTGCCTAAGGTAGT